GTGATCCCTACACATTATTTGTAATTGAGTTCGTCATTCAGAATTCTTTAATTAAAATTATTCGTAATCTCGTCTTTTAAGTCTTCATACTTGATAGATTTGTTTAAGTTCAACGCATAGATTTGGTAAAGTTAAGAGTTAGGCAGATCCTAACGTCTTGACCGCAGTAAGCTGTAGTTAAGAAATTTCGAATAGAGACTTGATAACGTGACCACCTCGAGTTGAAGAATTCCACGGTGACAATATAGATACTCCATTTGTTTAACAAATAATAATATATTATATACTTCAAACTCTGATATCAACTTATAAAGATAAAGAGTTACACCAATATAATTTGATTATTACAAGCTATTCATAAATCTGTAATTAAAGAAGATGTTATAAAAGTAGTAAAAATCAATTCCTTAAGTTGTAAAATACTTTTTGATAAGTAATAGAAAGATTTTTTTTTTATACACTTGATACTTGATATATTAAGATTAAATTTATATATCATTTTTCAATATCCTGCTTGTTAAAGGTAAGAAATCAGTAACTATCCATTCAGTTGTAATCATTTTTAATTTTTTTTGTTTAGATGCATAATGTGAAATAGTCTTACTAATCATTTTATCAACATGTTATTGGATTTTGTTATTGTCAATATAGTTTTGATCAAAGATGTTGTTTAATTTTACCAGTTCCACCATCATGTTTATATCTCTTTTACATTCAACCACTTCATTCTTTTGAAAGATATTTTGCAAATATCACACCCTCAATCCCAAACGAAACTTGATTTTTTAGTAGAATCAATTGGGTTATCCTTATTAACTCAAATTTTTTTTTGAATTTGGTTCTTCTGCAGGTTTTCAGTAATTTTTCTTCTGGATTCAAAGTTAGAAAATCCATTTTCCTCTTGGGTTTCAATATCAGAGTCATGATAGTTTTTTTTCCATTTTGAAAAATAATATATGATGCGATCGATCTCCTTTTTTTCAATATTTATTAGTTTAACGTTACACAATAAAGTTTTTTAATCTTTTTTAGATTTACTTTTTTTTTTATTATTATTAAAAGTTTTTTTTTTTTGAAAATATTAAAATCAAATAAAAAAATAAATTTTTTACGGTGTAATTGCATTACTGTACGAAATGGTTAAACCCAATTAGCCACCTACTTTTATTCGGTTAGGCGCTACCATTACACGGAGATTCAAACATTACCTTTTAACAATATCAAGATTCACATTTCCAATATTTTGAAGCCATAGAAGAGATGACGGTCATTGATAAAAGATATCTCTTTTCGAGCACTTTCAATAAAATATTACGATAAAGGATAGACGCGTTTGGAACTCTTTTCGATATATGATTCGTGTTTTTGCTTCTTTTATGATTATTGTTTAATACCAACTTACTGTATATGGATCTATACAAGGTTGGAACTGAAGGATGATAAAGTAGAATCGTGTAGCAATTGATTCAGAATTGGTGGATCACTGGAAAATGCGTTCGCGTTTTCTATTTGATTCTGTTGATGATGACATTTTGGTTTGAATTGAACCTTTTGAATCGCCCTATTTAATTATTTTTCTTTTCCCTATTAATGATTTTATATTCATAGATTCCATAAAAGGGGATGTGTTGGTGTATTACGACATCAAGAGTTTCGGCAATTGGCTGAAAAGATTACTCTTAAGGTGTAATGGTTCATAATATTTATGAAAGTATTACTCGATTTGAACTCGTAACTTCCAAAGTGGGTCGACAATCGAAATAAGCGGTTTTTTTCTCCTCTTAATAACGTCAAAACTTTCTTAAAGTTTACCCAATGAAATAAAATTCCAGTTAATCTAAAAAATTTCTCATCATCACGTGTACAGAAATGGTTCAAGGGAACTCGAGATCAACGGGGTTTTTTAGCGAGTTAGCCGACTCCATTTGTTAACGAGGAGGATTTGCACTGCAATCCTGCACATCATTATTTGATTTCCTTTTTGCCATCTTCAAAAAGCTGCATCATTGGAAGGTAACCAAATAAATAATAGAGTTCATTCAATCATGTATAAATCAGCAAACGTCTTTGATATATAAATTTTTTTTTTTTTTATATATACTGTATATACTGTATTTATATATATATTAATTTTTTTTTTAAAATTTAAAAAAAAAGAAAAAGCCTGATTCAATTAGGAAAAAAAAAAAAATTACAAGTTTGGATTGGTCTTTTAATATAAATTCCCAATCCTTTAACAGACTCTTTCAATTACTCCCAAATATAGATATATATAAAAGCTTTACGTCGGAGGGAAGTACATTCGTTCCGAAGATTCCTGTTTACGGATGAAAATGGTAATTATAAATGTTACATAAATGAACTTATTAATAAAGTATTTTAAATGTGAAACCCATGAAGAATAACAAGTATAAATAAAAAAAAAAAAAAAAAAAAAAAAAAAAAAAAAAAAAAAGGAAAGAATTTTCATCACGTACCAAAAGATTATTTAAACAAAGAACCGAACGTTTTTATTTACACGTTGTCAAACCCTAAAAGAAAATTCCCATGTTTTTGTGAGACAAAAATTGAAAGTTCTATATATCCCTTTCAATTGTAATAATGGTCAAATATTCGGAATGTCGTAAGATTCTACCACTTTTGCATCGGAAATGGCCAAGTGACCCAAAATTTGGGTTACATTTGCGTGACTTGTTCAAGAAATTAAAGTTACTTCTACGGGCATTTCCAAGGGTATATAACCATGTTAAACTAATAGGAAGAATGATAAAACATTTAAGGTAACATAAATAGTATAATAAATTTTTAAAATAAAAAATGAAAGGATTACAAGTGATTGACAAATTGGTCATCTACTAGCTCGTTTAGGCTTAAAGCGTCTTGCCTTATTATATATTGTAGCATGTAACACCAAAGTCACATGGATTAACCCAAAAAAAAAAGATATAAATAGGGAAGCAATGCTGAAAAATTGTCTCTTCTCCCGTAAAACAATCGAACATACTTGACATCACAAACTGCGCCATTTTATCCTTCTTTAATACATAATTAATCACACTCACTTCTCATTTCTCACCCATAATACTTTCATTGGACGTGTTATAAAATGCCCAAGGTTCAGAACATCCTTCATCGGATGACATTACCCTTCCCGCCAAATATAAGCGTTGATGAGTTGTTGGAAAAATCTCGAAACAATAATTCCCAACCTGGAAAGGTACCAAACTGTTTTCTAATCTATAGGTTGGTTTGGGTGGAACAAATAAAAAGAGTTGGAATAAAGTTAGATTTGTCAGAAATTTCTAGCTTTGTCGGACATAAATGGAAATGTGAACGGAAAGAGGTAACAGATTATTATAGGAAATTATCTTCCGACGCCAAAACGAAATTTCGAACAAATTCCAAACCACGATTTATATTTCATAACAAATGTGAGTTGAATAACGCCGAGCAACCTCAAGATGATGCTTCTACAGATTCACTTCAAACGCCAGAAGGTGCTTCGCCTGGTGCGAGTTATTTTCACTTTCCCATGGATATTAACCACTCCTTTTCCGATCAGGATCCCACCATGGATTACTTTGCGGGTCTGACAAATGGAATGTCATTTGAAGCGGATCCTTCCATGCATCAAGGTTGCAGCCTTAAGGAGAGCATCAATGAGATGCTGCGGTTAATTTTCGCCATCACTCCGGAAACCTATAGTAAATTACATAATAGGGAAGGTGTAATCACTTCTGAAGAATTGGAGAGAATTAAATTTGTTCTTGAATATAATCGATCGATGATCTCTGAACAATCAAAAAGTTCATCCAAATGTACCTTGCTTAATCACATGTCTGCAATTAAAGCGAGGATGAATCAATTGGAATACGCCACCTCCGATGCTTTCATTGACATTAAAAATAATTTTAATGATTCTCAAATGAGTTTTGGATTTGATCCAACCAGAGAAATGTATGAGTCAACTCCGCAGGACTTGGCTTTCAATGCCGAAGGAAACGTTGACAGATTTACACAATCTGAAGTTTTGCATCAACAAGCGTTATTTACGCCAACTCCTTCCGAACACTTTGACTTTACGGACTCTCAATTTAATCATAATTATCCCTTATTAGTAAATTTCCTGTTTCAGCAGAATAAAATTTTTGTTGAAAAAAACAAAGAATTAGAAGAAAAAAGAAAAGAATACGAAAGAAGAATTGAAAGCTTAGAAGATCGATTTAGATATATTCACAGTATAATCAAAGTTTCGAGGGGGTTGATTTTTGGAAATAATGATATTTTATGACATTCTATTTTATAAAATTTTTATAAATATCAATGTAATATAGTTTTTTGCAAATTATTGGCATGCATTAGCACGCAACCCTTTTTTCCTTTATTCAATAAACATAAAATACAAAAAAAAAAAGAAAAAAAAAAAAAAAAAAAAAAATCATATACATATGTGTGCGCGATTTGTATATACAATCTTCATATTACTTAATAATTTTCTTTTTAATAGGAGTCTTGGCTTTTTTTTTTTTTTTTTATTTTGAAGAATAAAATTTTTTTTTTTATTGTTTGTAAAACTTGTAAACATGGATAGTTTTTTTTTTAAAAAAAAAATTTAATAAAAGATTTTGTAAACTAATAAATTTCCCTTTATATAATTAAAAGTCCAAATGATTCGGGTGTAATCTAATCAGAACAATATTAAATTCTTAAAAGGTTAAATTAAGAAAATATTACATAACTTTATTTGTAACATTTCGGAAAATGTTAATTTTTTCCGCGACTTATCAAGGAGATTTTCATCGCGTACATGTACTTCTGTGGAACCCAAGGGGGAATCTTTTAAGTTCATCGGAACAAATGTTCCGCATAAATGAAATCATAATGACTCATCGGAAAAGATCGCTCCCTAAAACATAATTATAAAAAGCTTTGTCCATCAACAAATACCTCGAAGAGTTAAGTCACGAAAATTTGATAAATTAAAAAAAAAAGCTTAAAAATGTGCATTAATGGACTTTTTTTTTCTTTTGAACTTCAAAAGTATGAGATTCTTGGAATTTCTTTGTAATAATCATTTCTTTAACTAATGAAATATTATTTACTTAACAAAGTTACCTCAAATTATGTATGCACGCACAAACACACACACATTTAAAAAGCATTTCAATGGGATTACGCCAATTTTCTAAAAAAGCAGAGAAAAAGGTCATTCAAAAAGTTGCATAAATTTTTTTTTTTTTTTTTTAAAACATTTTAACATTTGTAATCAAAAATAAATAAATAACAAAAAAATATTTCTTGGCGACTTTTGTGTGCACCCTCCCAAAAAAGAACTTTGTAAAATGAAAACAAAACCATTAATAATTTTTTTTTTCTAATAACACTTCTCGTGCCTTGATCTTTTTAAGAAGATCAACTATACAATTACTTTACTTCGTCAAGTGCAGCTTTTCATTTGCATGTGACGTCTCAAGCCACAGCACTGTCATTTAATGTGAATTTTTGTAAGAGTTGAATAAAACATTCCTGTGAGGAATGAAATTCTGATATTGAAAATTTATTTTAAGTTTCTCGTTTCAAACTAGAATAGTTTTGGACGTTTTTTAATGAAATAATTTTAATTTATCAAGTTTATTGAAATAAAGTTTATGAAATCATTTTGATTAAAGAAGGATAATTCTGTTGAAATAAATTTGGGAAGGGAATTAAAGTTTGGTGGCGAATAGTTTTTAATGAATACGCGCATCAAGCCCGCAGTAAATTTCATCATATGACTTAAATTTCAACTTTTAGTTTTAACTAAAGAAAGGAATGACCACTAGTAAACAAACCATTGGTCTTTCTAAATTGGATCCGGGATTTACCGGAAGGTCCGTGCGATTCCGTAACTTTATCGTTATGGCATTTTGGGTGTCAAATTACCTAAAAATAAGAATATAAAAGGACGCTTCACCAAAGAAAATTTTCTTCGTGAATTGTAACCCTTTTTTTTTAAAAAAATAATATAAATATAAAATAAAAAAACTTATATATATATATTCCAAATATCATATATGAACAATCTTGTACAGTTCAGATCAAACCTTCGTCCAACTTATCCACCTCAAATAACAATTCAAGAGATCATTGAATTCTTATCATCGACAGTTCCTAGACGATCATTTCAACCAACTAACGCATTTAAGGTATATCGTATAGCAACTATTCTTCAAATGCGAACCAATAACAATGATTTGATGATCCTTTCTGGAAGTTTAGTTTCAACAAATTATTCAATGGAATCTCTTGAAGTCAAACGAACTTATCAAAGGTTAGCTTTAGAAGTGAATAATGAATTGATAACTAGGTAAGTAATTTATTTGTGTATCACTATATCACATGTATCATCAGCTGACTGATACAATGTTCGTTTTGACAGACAAATTCATGCATGACCAAACCGTAAATATTCACATCATAAAATGCTTCAATTTAAAACTTCGCATATTTATTTTGTAACTGCGAACTTGATGTACTTTACATTACTAAAAATAAAATTTTTTTGCTTTAACTTTATTGAGAAACTATGGTCCCATCTTAATGAATACTTTCATAATCGAAAATAATTTTATAACTTTATGTTTCTGAATCTTGGCCTTTATGAATTTGCGAATAAAAGCGACAGGTTTGACTTATATATATAAATCATGGTTAATATATGATTTATTTCAATTATAGATACTGCGGCATAAAGTACAATTTGAAATACTCTCTTACTTTAAATGAAAATCTTTCAATCAAAACATTTAACTTTCAAAGGTATTGCTAAGATTTTTTTATTTTCCTTTTTTCCTTTTTTTTTTGTTGTTATTGTAAATCAAAAGAAGTGTAACAAATCGTTTCTTTGGAATCATGATACGAAATCCCTGTATCGAGAATCTCTTGATATTTTATTTATTGATAACATATTTTTTGAAATTTTCATATCAGCTGTTAACAGCAATCATAGACGGACGAATTTTTTTCATTTTTCTTAATATTCTTTACGTATTGTTAATCTATTGAATGCTGTAGCAACAACTATAACTCTATTATTATGTCATCCCTAAAAAATTTTATTCATGTGCCTTATTTATATTAATATTTTTTTTAAAAAAAAAACATTCATTTATTTATTTATTCATTTATTTTACCTTTATATTATCATATTATCTCTAAGTTTCTTGTTTAGAAAAATAAAATCCAAATTCAATCGAACTACTGAATATCAATTTTTTAAAAATAAAATTTTGAATTTTAATAACAATAAGGAAATTCTTCGTAATCTAATAAACAAAGAATTAGGCAAGGCTATTATCATAGCGGTGAAAAAAATTTTACTGGAAATGTTCCAATACGACGAGGAGAAATATTGGTTGATTTATTATCTAATGACTATGAAATTTGGCTCAAATAATAGTTAAATTCATTATATCCTGCAGATCCTGGAATATTTGATCTTAGTGACGGATTAACCCCTAATGTTATTTTCTTGTAACGTTTCTGATAGATTACCGTTCACATTCAATGATTACGCATCGTTTGAATGTTCCTATACATCTTTTGGAATTGTTAATATTAAACGAGAAAAGGATATGTATTAAATACTATCTATCCATAATTCTAATAAAAAATTAATACATACATACTTTGAAGTAATGCGTCTGACGAAAATTCCTAAGAAAAAATAAATTATTATTAAGGTCATACAAACAATATTGGCAAACAATTATGATAAAAATGAATCCATTGTTTTCTTCTTTGAATATTTAATCACTTAATGATGTAACTACATCAAATTCTCCTTCCGTCTTTATCACAAATCACTTTTCTTTCTCGTTATTGCAGAGTATACGCGCGTCATCATCCATCGAATGTATTATTTCGTCTTATTAATACTCTTTGAACTAAAATTAGATTACTTAGATTTATGCGATATTGATTTTAATTAAAAAAGAATTTTTTTTTTTTTTTATTTAAATTACAGTACATCAAATGTTAGTTGTGTTCCTCATAATTTTCGGTATCGTTTCTAATTCGTATATACATCATCAATCTAAATTATACTCATGTAGGAATTAATGAGATTTTTCGTTAAATGCAATTCGATTAACAAATCAAATGAATTATCTCTATCCTTGAGTACCAATTTTATGTAAGTCACGTGAAATTTCTTACATTACTGACATAAAGTGCGTAAAAATAGCCGAGCCCAGCTATACCCATCAAGAAATTATCAATAAATCACTCTTTGTTTCGATTCAAACCACTTTGGGAGTTCATCCTTTTAAATATCACCTGACTCCTTCTGTGCTCATTCCAATATTCTGTTTGTAGTGATTACAGCCTTATACAACGTAAAATACGAGATTGCACCAATTTGACATGCAATTTGACGCGTATCTCTGGCTAAGGTCTCTGTTTTGTCGCAAGATTATCCTATTAAAAGGAAGTTTTTGAGTCAACAAAAATAAGAAATTTCAATCAAAACATACGGACAACTATAATGATCAAAGCATGAATTATTCATTCACAAAATCAGAAATATGATATGTATGAAGACGTTGATGGTGAATGAGGTACTGGTAATATTGGTGAAGTTTCCTTTGGTTCGAGTACCAGTGATGTTTTTGGGAATGATGGATGACGTTGAGGACTTGCTGTAGCCAAAAGATGTTTAGTCTGAATTGCGGGTGTGACCTAGATGTAGATATGTAAATTTTAAGCAATCCATACATCAAATATAAAATTACATCTGACTCTCAAGGGATGTAAATAACCGAGCTAATAGATTATTTACCAGTGTATCAATCATCGGGACTTAAATTCTTTCACATTAGTTAAAATCGCTAGCATCAAATTTATCGACTGTAATTTTCTGGATATCGATATCGGAAAGAATTATTTTTTTCTGGAAATCATTGACTCAAGTACCTTCTACATATTTAGGAAGTCGGAAAGGCGTCGTTCTCTCAAGATTAATAATTGAAAATTCTTTTTTATTGAAATCTGATGTTGTAGAGTATGGAAAATTGTGCTTAAGTTTGCCTTCGACTAAATGTTCGTGATTCTGAAAGGGCGTTCATACTGCTGACCAGTGTTGGGTTTGGTCACTTATTATATCCAAAAGAACATATATAAGTTTATAAGTTCAATTGGATTGGATAAATGTTTGATGTGTTGTGACTCTCAACGAGTCTGGGAAATTCATTTAGAGATCAGAAAAACCAACAGAACAATTACTTTAAAAAATTTATTTATGATATTATGTCTAACTTTTGTGATCCTCTTCTCTTGAACGAAGATAAGATCGAACTTAATAACTATATTAAAGTTCATTTACTAAATATATTTAAATAAAAGGCATATCATACATTCCATATATTAATTTAAAAGAATTGTAAGTTTTAAATATTAATTGTTTTTATATTATTATTATAATAATTTTTAGTTACTTAATAAAATAAATTTAAAATCTTAAATTTAAGATCTAGATTTAGTATATTAAATAAAAAATAAAATTATATCAATAAGATCTATTTGAACTTTTGTTAATTTTAATGATATATGCTGTATTTTTCCTTTCTTTCAATTTTTATAAGAATAAAAGTTATTATTAGTATTGTTAACTAATTGTATTTATTTCTTCTTTTATAAAATAAATTATTTTATTCAATAAAACAAGGTATTAAACAAATATATAAATAAAATTAAGTATAATTTATTACATTTTGTTTATTTGTCATATGTTTATAACTTTTTAATTTATGCTTTTTTTAATATTTTTCATTATTTTCATCTATTCTTCTGGTTTATTATTCTTTATAACTGAGAAAAAAATAAAGAAATATTAACAAACTAAAATTAAATTAGTTAATAAAAATAATTGAATTATTAAAGATCAATTTATATATTAAAAAAAATTAATTTGATAATAATTTATTTAAAATTATAAATTTTAAGCTATAATATTTGATTATATAAATTTTCTTAGAATAGATCATTTTTATTTAATAGGAATGTTAAATCCAGTCTAGTCCTAATCTGATCCTAACTCCTTAACCTAAAAAAGATCTAGTTATAGAATTGAGTCTTAGGATTGGATTCTAGGATCAAATTTCAAGACTGCAATCCTAAAATTACAATACTATAGAAATTAAGACTTGTAGTTTTAGAACTGCATTCTTATAAAAATTAAAACTTAAAATCTTAAGATGTAATTTTATAGAAATTAGAACTTATGACCCTAGAATTGCAATCCTATAGAATTAGAATTTGCAATTCTAGGATTACAAATTTAAATAATATATAAAATTTAGTTTACTAAAATATTATAGACAATAAATGTTTTAGTTGAATGATAAAAGACTATTCTTTATAAATAATGATGTATTATTTAACTAGAATGATAAAATATTTATTTAAAAAGAATAATAAAAAATCGTTCAACTTGAATAATAAAATAATCATTCTTGAAAAATGATAAATAATTATTCAACTTGAATAATAAAATAATTGTTTAAAAAGAATAATGAAGAATTATTCAAGAAGAATGATAAAAAAATCATTCAACTTAAATGATAAAATAATTATTCAAGAAAAATAATAAGAAATTATTTAACTTAAATGATAAAATAAGAAGAATGATGAAGAATTATTTAATTTAAATAATAAAATAAAAATTGTTTAAGTTCAATTAGAATAATAATCTATTTATTATTCAACTAGAATGAAAATAAATTATTTTTTTTAAATAATTATTTATTTATCATTTAAGTTAAACAATTTCATTATTCTATTTGAATGATTAATTTTTTATAGTTCAAGTTTATTGATTTAATTAAATGATATATTATCATTTATAAAAACTGTAACCTTAAACTGTAAATTCTAATTTCCATAGAATTATAATCTAAGATTACAAGTTCTAATTTCTATAGAATTGCAATTCTAAAACTGCAGATTCTAATTTTTATAAAATTGCAATCCTAAGATCACAAGTTCTAATTTTTACAAGACTATATTCTAGGATCACAATCTTATAATTTAAAGAATTTTAAACTGAATTAAACTTTATAAACATATTTAAGACTTAGTCCTATAAAATTTTTTTAATATCCCTATTATTTAATAAAATACAAATTTTTATATATTAAACTATATTATTTAAATATATAATAAATATTTTTATTATTTTTATTATATAACTTAATCTTTTTTTATTATTAAAAGTCATTAAATAAAAAAAAAAGTTAATATTTTATATATATTATATTTCTTATATTTTAATATAAATTTTTTATTTTAATATTATTTTAATGCTTTAAAATATTTTAAATTATAAATTATTATAATATTATGATAAAAACTTTTTTTATTTTAATATAATAATACTAATTATTATTTTTAATATTATAAAATAAAGTATATAAAATAATATATTAAAATAATTATTTTAGTTTACTAATAATATTTAAATTTTTATATAAGATTTATTATTTAATATATTTATAAAATATATTTATTTATAAATAAATATATCTAAAATTTAATAACATTAATTTATTAATTTTTCTTAAAAAAATAATAAAATACTATTTTTAAAGGTTTTAATATAATTATAAATCATAAAAATAAAACTTTAATATTACAGTCAACTCTTGTTATAGCGAACTCTTGTTATAACGAATTTTTTGAACAAATATAATAAAAATACTCTTATTATAGCGAATTGGCCAATCAAATCTCTTAAAATCTTCACTATAGCCTTATAGCAAAGTTGAGGTCTAGGACATAGAGTTCGTTATAACAAGAGTTGACTATATAAATTTTATTATAATAGATTAATATTATTTTATTATAATATAAAGTATGATAATTATAATATAAAAATTAATTAATATAAATAAAATATATAACTATATTTAAAAAAAATATTATTATATTTATATAGAATATTTACAGTGTTATGACAGTTTTGTAGCTTTAAATAAAATCTTAAAAAGGTAAATAAAACTAAGATAATTACTTGAGAAATTATAGATAAGGATTTACAATAATATTAAAAATTATTTTCAATATAAAAACATATAAGAAAAACATAAAAATAACTCAAAAATATTTCAGAGATTATACTTCAGAGACTTCAAGTCAATATAATGAATCAATATAATATTATACAATAAGTTTATTAACTATAATTAAAGGGATTATACAGATGCAAAGGGATCACAAATAATTTATAACAAGTTCAAAGGATTATAAAGGATAAGTTTTATACTTAGTTAATTATACTTTTTTATTAATATAATAAATTTAATACTTCAAAGATTAATATTTCATCAATGCTTAGACTTAAAAAAATACAGAAATATTTATGCATATTAAATAATTAATTAAATAAACTAAATTAAATATATCAAAGAAAATAAAGTTATTATTTCACTAGGCAATAAAGTTACTATATTAATAACTAAATAGACATCTATAATCTACATGATTATTAAGGATAATAAATTGATATCCAGAAATTTACATAAGGATCGATGACAATAAAATTGATAAAAAAATCTTTTTAAAGATCTATATGGCAATACAATTGACTTTCTAATCTACCAATTAAATCTATCTAAAATTTTACCCATCATAACAGAAAAAAGACTCTAAGAATATTTTAACTAAATTAAAATCTTAATATATTTTTATCTAATAATAAACTAAAATATAATAAAAATTAAAATTTTATTAAAAAATTCCTAGAGCCTAATTTTTCTAGCAATCTTCTTATATTATTATATAAAGTAAAAATTTAATTGATTATGTATTATATAAAAAAAATTTTTTTTGTATTAAATTTATTATTATTTTTATTTTATATTATAAATTATTTATAATATTTAACTTAGTAAAACCTTATAAAATTTATATAATTTAATACTAAAATTATTTATTAATAAAATAATAGATATATATAGTAATATTTTAAAAATGATTATTATTAAATCATTTATATTATTATAAATTACAGATAAATAATTAAATTAAATTAATAATAAATTTTTTGCATTTTTATTAATTATATAAAATAAAATATAAAAATATATTTTACTAGTTTAAAAAATTAATAATTATGTAAAATTTTATTTATACTGCATTTATTTAATTAAATTAATTAATAATCAAAGAAAATAAATTAAAATATACATAATATTATTTATAATTAGAATGGAAATCATTGTAAATATAAAATAAAATACTATATATTCAATTTATAATAATAAATAATTGAAACTTTTATCAATGTTATCAAATTGACAAATTTTTAGTGATGTATGCATGCAGACAAATAGACATCATCATATGATCATATTATTGAATTACTTTGCATAAATATATATATAGCAATAGTCCTTCACTTCACTTTAGATAATTAAAACATAATAAATTTTATTTAATAATTAATCAAAAAGATATATTAATATAACTATAATATTAAGTATTAATATTTAATTATATTTAATAAATAATTAAGTTTTAGATTAAAGTTTCTATTTTGTTAGTATTAATTATTATTATGTAAAAAGTTTTTTACTATTAATATTAAGGTATTATATTATTAAAAATAAAGGTTAATTTTATAATTTATTATAAAAAATTAAATCTAATTTATATTTAAATTTGTTTATAAAAGCGTATCTATGACTGTAAAAAATATATAAACTATAACATAAAATTTTATAATAACTTATAAAGTATATAATAAAGTTTAATAACTTTAATAATGGCTGATAAAAATATTATATTCATTATTAAGAGGATTTGTTAATTTAAAATTAAATTCTTTGTAAATTTAATATTTTTGAATAAACCTTCTGTAATCTTTTAAAATTATTATTATATATAATAATTATATTTAAAATTAAATTATTCTTTTTTACATTATATTTTTCAAAGAAAATAATTACCTAGTTGATTTTGATTTTTTTTTTTTTTGTTTCACTTGATAAAAAACTACTAATCTAATCCAAATTATTTTTATTTGCGACAAAATATTTACAACCTAAGAATCGAATTCGATCATTTAAAATTGATTTTGACGTAATTCTTTTGAATTATGGACTCTCAAAAGGCTAGAGATTTCATTTATCCAAGCACCTAATTTAGAGAATTTTGAATCTTCTCTCAGGCCCATTACTGAGCAGTTGGTATTTCCTTTTATATTTCCTTAGTATCTTAATAAAATATTGTTTCTTCGTTTGAAATAATTTTTTATAGTTGATCGAAATTCGTGCTTATTTGCATTTTCTGTCAAGAGAAGCCTTCTTGGATGATCCATAAGTAAGTAAATTTCACTAATACAAATTTGGATAGGTTTGAGAATTACTACTAACGATTTATAATAATCATTTAAGTCGGTCAATACCAAGCGTAAGGCTTTAAAAAGTCACGCAATTCGTTACTATCAAGCTTTTCCCACCTGAACTGCTGACTCATACGGTGTATGAGTTTTAAGTCTTTCGAACTTTAATTTATCGTTCGTGGAAAGTTCACTATCTAAAGGGAAAAAAGCGCTTAATACTAGACATGTTATAAAATAATTTTAATTGGCATCATTCCTGTTTATTCAAAAATTATAGATAAATGTAAATTTCATAATGTGAAATCCTAATAATTTCAAAATAAATAGGAAATTAATTAAAAAATATTGATTTTTCCTCCCATTCGCAAATGGGCTGTTCAAAAAAAAATGATGCAAGTCCGTTAAATTTTTTAATTTAATGCAATCATTGCTTTAAATGGAATTGATATTAACAGATCAAATTTTTTATATATTAACGATATTATCTTGTGACTTTATGATGTTGATTTAAAATTATGAAGGGAAAGTTCATTATCATTCTCTTTCTTGTTATTTAAAAATAAAATTGAAGAACTACTTTATGAAACCACGAAAAAAGTAAATATTTTTTTTTGTGTTGTAAGCTTAATAACATGATTTTATTTTTAGGCGAATTATACTTTTGAAAATCCACTGGAAAATAAACTTATTAATATATTTATAGAAGACGAATTGTTTTAATCAAGAAAAAGGCAAGATTTCAATTAACCATTATATCCATGTTATCAAAAATCTTATTGCTAAAAAGCTATGGCAACTTTTTAATGGTAAACACATCGATTTTTTTTTAATTATAGAACAAAAAAAATTAATAAATGTATTGTTTAACTCCGTGATATCAAAAAACAAGATTTGTCTACAAATCGAAAATGGATTTGGCAGATTACAATATAAATTTTTAGTGATGTAATTGGAATCCTGATTTTCCTGATTGAGTTATTGCATTATATAATTTCCTGATTGAGTTATAATTTTTATTTGTGTTATATACACAAATTAGGAAAAATTTTTTTTTGTCGTAGCTACAATTTTACCGGTATGACATCAAATACCAATATTATCATACTAAATTCTCAACAACATGTGGATTCGTAAATATTGTCAAACACTTAACTATAAAAATTACTTGAAAAAAACCAACCTAATTTCTGTATGGATTTTTTATTTGCCTGGTCGCATTAGTTATTTAACAAATCCGACCAATCAGTTAAATTAGTTTTGCAAAGCATATTATTAGGTATGTTGATTTTATGAATCGTCTGTTGTCAAGTGGGTAGGAAGGTTATTTCTCTGATAAATGTTCAAAAAAAAAAAGTGCGTAATTAATAATGATATGAAATATCACGTAATAATTAATGACTTTGAATGATTGAATTAAAGAACGCGATTTATTCAAGTCTCATTAAAAAAATGACAAATAAAATAAGTAAGACACTATTTTTTTAGTTTAAAGATAAAATATCAAAATTTTTAACATGCTGAAGTTTATACGGAAGAAAGAATAATTATGTTTGATGTTTTCTTTAAAATATATACCAATTTGTATTTTACTTATAACATTTAATATTGAACTTGATCAAAATAAACTAATATTTCTAAAATATGGGACCAATACTACTTTCCATTCCACATTCGCGTATATGTATTGATAGTCATAATCCAAATCCGCCTCTTGATCGTTCAGAGCTTCATTGATTCTATTCGGTTCTTCGAAATAGTCATGAACGGGATAATTGTTAACTTGAGTAATGCTAGTAGAACTGCATTAGAATCTTGAATCGTATGATCTCCACTTAATGAATTCTCAAAGCCGTGGTTATTATTGTCATAACCCGTTCTAACCTCTTCATAATTCAATTCGAACAATTGACTGTTATCAGAACAAAGACCCGTAACATTAAAATCATCATTCGTATGATTTCCACTTAATGAATGTTGCGCAGGAACCATGTCGTGGGTATTATTGTCATAACCCGATTCTGCTCCATAAACACTAGTTGCACTCTCAGTATTTTGATAGAAATTTTTTAAGTGGTCGGGTTCATCACGTTTTGCAATATTAGAAAGTAGGTTCTTGGGAGGTAATTTCATATGTTTGTCATATACAAATTTATAAGGATAATTTTGATTTCTTTGCTTCCTCATTTTTTTTTTTTTTTTTTAAAAAAAAAGAAAAAATAAAGAATGTATGGTATTTTATAAAAAACTTTACATACTGTATTACCTCAAACAAAATTTATATTATTATTACGATTTTGCCGATCAATATTTATTATTTATACTGCTTTTTATAATTATTTATATTGTTACTATAAAATTTTGTTATAAATAACCGTCTATTTCGCACAAAATTTGGGGGGGTTTTTTTTTTTTTTTTTTTTTCCTTTTGGTTTTTTTTTGTTGACTTCCTATTGTTCGTCGTTTTTTCGCTCAGTTGAAAGTCGACTAATTTTATAAATATTACTTTGGTCATTCAGAGATGACAAAAGTTGCCACTAAGAACATGAAAAATTCTTAAGTAGAAATTTTGACCTTAAATTATTTTTTTTGTATTTAAAAGAGTGCATTATCTTTATACCCTTATGTGACCACTTGTTTGCTGCAGCATGATATTCTACAGTTTAATAAACAATTAAATTTAAAGAAACATTCCGGACTGCAATATATATAACAGTAGACAATACGTTTTCTATATAATAAACACCGCCCTACCAAATTTTTTAATATTCTAAATACAGTTGACCCAATGAGGAAGAATTAATAAGAGAAATAGAACGAAAACAAAAAGACTTAGCAAAGAAAAGAGCCCAACAAAAACCAAAAGTGAAAAAGAAACCCCCAGCACAACCACCTATCATTAACATGATAATTGACCAAAAAAAAATTGATGTAATTATAAAAATACTACCGTATACATCAGGAATATTTTTAATGCAAATTTACGGCGTAAGGATACGTAATATTTACGTTTTTAGCATTGCGAAAAATTACGGGCTTATGATGTAACTTGGGCCAATGTCAGTGTGCTTATAAAGAGGGATGTGACTATATATGGGGTGACTATATAGAGGGTCGACATTATATTTATTTATTTAAATGATATACAGTCGACCCTCTATATAGTCATTTCCTATATAGTCATTCCTCCCCTATAAGCACATTTTTAGGCCAAAATTAATAATAAACTTATTAAAAATCCTCTTCTATATAACTTTTTTTATAATCACTCCAAATTTTTTTTGGTCCCGAAGGGTGTAACTATATAGGAGGTTAACTGTATATTTATTATAGACTTTTGGTAGGAAGGTGACAGTGTACTAGATAATGAATATGTTGTGAATACAATATAAAGCCGATATATTTATTGTTCTTTTCTTTTTTTGCCCATATTCTCATTTTGATAACAAACGCCTAAAGCGGAATCAGTTGAGTTAATTAGGATATTTAGGCAATTATAACTTATAGGATCTAAGTTCAGTAGAAATGTGTGTCTTGCGCACAATTCTATTTGGATGGCCTGAGCGGTTGAGAACAAGGCTATTTCTTCCTAAGAAGGAGCCTTTTGAAGACAGCAATACATTCGCCTTTATTATACTGTATCATTGCTATTATGAGCATCTTTTTTTTGATTTAAATAAATCGATGATATTTAGAAAATCAGCGAAATACAGGAATGATTTTACAAATCCCGCTTGCTATTCATAAGTATAACGAACGAAAAAATAAAAACATGTTGCTTCACCAATCAGATTTTGGGATTAAATACCAGGTATTATTGAAAATTCGGATGAATTTATTTGATAAAAGTTTCGAGTAATAACTTTTATTAATAAAATATTAATAAAATACTGGGAATTAATACGGAGATTAGAAAGTTAATTAATATTAATTAATTTCAGGTCATTTGATATGAAATTACGGGTTAGGCGCAGCATATTATAATTGTTTATTATTCTAATTTTAAGAAAAAATATTCAATTAAAAATTGCAGTTCAAATCAATTTTTTAAAAATTGCGACTAAATAATTTATTTAAAAAAAAAAATAAATTAAAAATAAATTAAATAAGGATCAATTATTAAAATAAATAAATAAATAAATAAATTAAATATATCGAGATAATTATGAAAATAAAAATAAATTAATAAAATAAAAAAAATAAAATTAGCAGTATTAAAAATATTTTAAAAAAATAAATGTATAAACCCATGATTAAATCCGCTCAGAATTTAACCGAAACATAAAATAAAAAGTCCAAAATTATGAAAAATAATTAAATAAAAAAATATATATATTTATAAAAAATTTACTTTCAACCATCACAATCAGACCTAACTCGACCCTAATCCGATGACTCTAACCTAGGGCATTTAATTGATAAAAAAAATCATAATCGATGATTTAATCGATCTCTTACTCACTTAATCAATTAAAAATCGATTTATTTGATTGATCACGTGTGATTGATTTCTTAATCAATTGCATTGTTCAATCAAAAAATAAACTAAAAATCAAATTTTAATTGCTCGATTATTGATTGATTTATTAATATTAATATAAGCATCAAAAAGTTACAATAAGCTAATTTTTATCAATTACAAATATTATAATAACTACTAAAATCTCTTTAATTTGCCAACATACAATTATACAAAAGGATTATAATATTTACTATTTCGTTTTACAAACAATAATTCATTAATAGTCTCTGGTTTTAAACTGGTCTGATCTTTGATAATTTGATTTCCAGCATCACTAAAAAACCGCTCACTTGGAACAGATTTGGCTAGTATACTCAAATATTTTCTAGTTATTTTAAATAAAGTTGGAAATTTCTTTTTATTATTAATCTACCATTGAAATGGATCCATTTCAGGTATAGCTTATAGAGTTCTAAAATTATCCAAATAGCAATTGATTTCATCATCATTTTCATCTATTTCATATGATCCAAATAAACGCAATTTAAACCCGCCTGTTGGATAATTATTTCTTAAGTTTATTTGAGGTATAACAGTTTCTTCAACATTATTTCTTTTAGTTAACCGGGTCGAAATAATATTAGTTTGGTGTTTATGTTTTCTATTCTGGTCTGGCATTTAAAAGGATATTAAAAAAAAAATTTGAATTTTTCATGTTAAAATTAAACGCGTTATGATGATCATCCGATATTTAAAAATTTAAATATTATAAATAAAAATTCCAATACTTTGAAATGCATTTTTATGATGAAAAAAGCGAATAATGCTACAACTATGACTATTTTATTTGAAAAGCTTCAATGTTAAAAGACCAGTTGCTATGTCTTACGAATAAAAAATTTTTAGGAATTTTTTTTTCTTTTTTTTTTAATGATATTATTTAGTTTTGTTTATTGTTTATTTATATGTCATATTATATCATAATGACATAATCGATCAAACATAATTGTTAATCGATCATTCATAGAAATTTAATCAATTAAAATTAATTAAAGTTAATTCAATTTTGATCGATGACAATATTCTGCGATCGACAAATTGATTGAAATAATCAATCATTAATCTTACTCGATTCGATTAAAACCCTACTCTAACCAATTCTAAACCAAAACAAACCTTAACCTTAATTCTAAACCCTAATCATATGAATTAAATTTAATAAAAAGTTATAAAATTAATTATTATAAAAAAATTATTCACAACTAATGTAAAAAAATCAATTAAAAAATTATAAACACAATTATTGTAAAAAAATCTCAATTAAAAATTACAAAATACAATAAATGTTAACGTTAAAATATAATAAAAATAAATTAAAAATTACAAACAAAACAATTAATTAAAAATAAATTTTAAAATAATTAAAAAATTTATAAAATTTAAATAGATTAAAAAAATGCTAATTAATTATAATCAGTTTCATAGAATATTACAATAAACAATCTGGATTTTTCACAAAATAGAAAATTTATGCATTACCTATTATAAAATTGTTAATTAAATTAAATGTTTAAAATTAGAAATTACATAAGTATTAAAATTAAAATTAGAATTAAATTAAATTTGATTTATTTATAAAAAAAAAAAAAAATTTATTATATATTAACATTAAAATTAGAATTAAGATTAAAATTAAGATTAATTAATACTCAAAAAAAATACAAATTTACTTTTTTTATATATAAAAATTTTTAAATATTATTAATAAGAAAAAATTAAGTTTTAATATCTTTTTTTAACATATTATTAACCTTAAATCATTTTCTAAGTAAAACTGCTAATCCTTTATATATATTATACTAATATATTTATGCTAATATACTTCACTATAAAAAAGTCACATTTTACTAATTAGGTTTTTGAAATTATTTATTATATATTGAGATAAATTATATAAAATTTAGATAAATTTATTAATAAAAATTTTAATTAATTAATTTTATTAATAATATTATAAAATAGCAAAATTTATATTAAATATTAGGAAATTAACTAAAAAATAATATTAAAACTTAGAAAAATTAATTTAAATTAATTAATTAATTATTATCTTTGAAAATAAATTACAAATTTAAATCTATTTATTTAATAAATTTTATAAAAGATAAATTTAAAGATTTGCTATTAAAAATTGCAATTTAATTAAAAATTTAAAATTAATTAAAAAAATTAAATAAAAATTAGATAAATCTGATAATTAATTAAATTTTAAATTTTAAAAAATAACTAAAAATTAATATATAAAAGGTGACTATAATTTATTTTAAAAATATTAATATATAAATCTATGATTTTTAAAATAAATCATATAGATGCTTTATAATAAAAAGTAAAAAAACTAAAAAAAAATTTTTAAGTTAATATTAAATCTGAATTTATTTTATTAAATTTTTTTAGTAATTTTTTCTTTTTTACTACAAAATACTTATGATTATAATTTTTAGAAATTAATTTTTATTATATATAATATTATATTATATTTATCTCTTAAACTGTCAATATAAAATTATTTTTAAACATTTTAAAAAACTTAAAATATTTTAACATCTAATAATTATAAAAAAATAAAATAGAAATTTTAGATTTATCATATAATGATATATTTAATGGT